TTTTCTGTTTCTGAGCAGCCCAGGACACCACCCCTGATCCCAAGCTCCATGTATAGCCTCCAATGCTGCATCTGGTGTCAATACAGTTGGCCCAATCAGAGTCTGTAAAGCCGACAAGATTGACGGGACCAATTTTGGATTTTCCTCCCAGTGTGAGTTTCAAGTCGCATGTACCCTTGAGGTATTGTACCAGTCATATGGCAGCCATCCAATGGATTCCAGTGTAGTTATCAACAAACTGTGTGAGCTGCCTGACTGTATATGCTATGTTGGGGTGGGTAGGGGTAGATATGGCAAGGTATAGTAGGCATCCCACTAACAAGTGATATGGTGTCCTCATAAAATATTTATGTTGCTGATGATGCATTTGACTTTTAGCTGCCCATTTACAATCTGAGCCTTTTTTGAAGGTAACTAAACCATTGTTAAGAAGTTGGACCACCCTTCCAACCCTTACTCTTGTTTTTCAAAATATTTGGAGGTTTGATCTCATAAGTTCCCACTCAGAAGGGAGTTATAGCTTACTTCAAATGGTACTCTGATCCACTTCTTTTTAAAGCTAAGATACACTTAATCTTTGATAAATCACATGGCAGTCAATTCTTGAGTGCTGGTAGCACTGCATACTTTACCAAGTTGGGTACTCCTCCTAACCTTCTTTAAGCTATTGGTCAATGGTCATCTGCAGCTTTTTACTGCTACATATGGAAAAATCCTGTTATTCTTCTTTCTATGCTTTTCTGTCAAGATGGTTATTAAACACTTTTTCCAACTTTGTTAATTTCTTGCCTTAGCAATCTTTTGAAACTGGATGTTTTACCAACTTGTGTTCTTAATTCTTTTGGCTGTATGGACCTTTTCTTGTTTCTTTACATCTGTACATTTGTTACTATCTTCTTTTGTTCAGCTATATGGACCTTTTATTTTTTCTTCATACATGTACATTTGTTATATGGTGGTATGAGCCAGTGCAAGTATGACATAGCCAAGATCTAGTATATACTGTTGATTACATAATTTTGATTAATTCAACTGGATTTGTAGTACATACTACTGTTTACATAATTCAATCTAACTCTTTTGCATATATAGCTAAACTGGATATTCTTGAACTTAAAATTCAATATTTCAGGCTCCTCCTACAGATGCCTACCAGTGAACATTCATTCCATCATGATACTAGCAGTTTCCTTGAGAATCTAAAAATCTACACATAAAATGGCAGTCACCATAGTACACCACCTCTGAGTATATATTAGATGGCATTAGAGCCTTGGACAGACAGACTCAGTGATTTATTAATTATTATATTGATGTTTGAATTGAATACAATTATAGGAGGGGCTTGGATGAATCTGAATATTTGCTGCAGTTAGATATAGCAAGTGCTACAATGAGTTTTAGTCACAATATGGAAGTTATTATCTGCAATGTGGCCATTCAGTGAACAGCAAGTTTGGTTCAACAGGATAATATGAGAAAAGTTTGATCTTGATGTATTCTAACTAATTCTATGACCAGATAAATCTCAGAGATAGCTGGATGTAACAGGTTGTCTATATTTGAATAGCTTATCTACAATGGCATAGATACTAGTATGACTACCCATGGGAAATATAGAGGGATTTTTCACATTCAACTTAGCATGCAGCCAATCCCTCACAGCCTCAAGTACCTTATGGTCACCATGAGCAATATTCTTGTATTTTAGTGTCCAAGGTTTTGTCAGTCTAGCACTGGCCAAAGAAAATCTTGTGCTCCAAGCAGTCTGGTTCTCTGACTATAAGCTCAATAATATCACCAGAATGCTATCAAACAACACTAGATCCATGAACACAGAAGCAATGCATAAATTTATTTTTAAATAACATCTAGAAGCAAAGCAGTAACTCACACATCAAGCAGCTGAAAGAACTCATAATGAGAGAATCACAAAAGAACAATTAGGGAATGGCATGG